ATCATGATTTTCAGGTAGGCCTATAATTTTTAAATTGTCTCTCCTGGACCAATTTTCCAGGTCAGTTGTTTTACCCATGAGGTATTTTATGTTTTCATCTAATTTTTCATTTTTTTGTTTCTGTTTGACTGATTCTTGCTCTCTCATAGAGTCATTAGTTTCCATTTGTTCAATTCTAATTTTTAACATTGTTTTCTTCTGTTAGATTTTGTACTTTCTTCTCCAATTGGCCAATTGTATTTTTAAGGGATTTATTTTCTTAAGTGTACTTTTTTTCCAGTTAACCAATTATATTTTTAAGGGATTTGTTTTCTTCAGTGCACTTTCTTTCCAGTTGGCCAATTGTGTGTTTTAGGGACTTGTTTTCTTCAGTGTACTTTTTTTTCCAATTGACCAATTATACTTTTAAAGGACTCCTCTACCTCTCTCATTTGACTTTTAAAGTCCTTCTGGAGTTCTAAGGAGGCTTTTTGGGCTTCAGACCAGTTCATATTCCCTTTTGATGTTGCAGATGTGGGTTTGATGACAGTGCTGTCCTTCAAAATTTCTGTCTTGGTCTTCACTCATCTCATAATATGAGTCTATGGTATGTTTCTTTTTACTCACGTTGTTTCTTTGTTCCCTGGCCTTTAAAGAGTTTAAGCTCTCCTGCTGGGGAGCAGAGGGCACTGACCCAGGCTTCTTGTGTTGGGAGTCTAGGTCTCGGTCACTGGCTTTGTGTGCTGGGTCCTCTGATGTTGGCAATTGGAGGTTGTAGGGTTCTGGCAACTTATCTGGTGTTGGGCTGGAATCAACAAGAGTGGGACTTTCAGGGAAATCTAGGTCTCCTGCTTTTCCTTTCCTTTAGCTTTGTTTAGCTCCTTTTAGATAAGTGCTGCCAGGTGTTTATCTGCCTGGGGCCCCTTGCAGTGCTGCCTCCCTTATTTCTGTTGAGGCACTGGTAGACTTCTTTGCTATAGAATGCCGAGGCACCTGGTGGTTTTCTGAGCTGATTTCCACCAGTTACCCCACCCTCACTTAGGCACTCGGAGGTACAGCTGTTGGTGTTTGCCTGCTCAATCACCTGGGCTTCGGGATCTCCTCCTGGTTGTCAGTTGGAGGCTGTAGGGTTCTGACAGCTTACCTGGTGTTGGGCTGGAATCAACAAGGCTGGAACTTTTGGGCAACTCTAGGTTGCTTTCTTCAGCTCCTTTCAGACAAATGCTGCCGGGTGCTTGTCCGCCTGGGGCCCTTTGTAGTGCTGCTTCCCTTATTTTTGTTGAGGCACTGGGAGACCCATTTGCTGTAGAATGCCTAGGCACTAGAATCTCCTCCTGGTGTGCTAAAATGTGTCTTTCCTCTAGCTGGCTGGGCAGCTCCCAGTTCCATAGTGCTCCCCTTCCCCGAGGATAAGAGGGGCCTTTCCCATTAATCCCTCTAGCTACCTGGGCTACTGTACTGCTGCACCCCATCTGTCTTCTGGTTCAGCTGTTCCAGGGTTTTTTCTGGGGTGATATTTTCTGGGTTTTCAGAGGTTGATAGGGGAGGGTGAGAGCAACTACCTTTTTACTCTACCACCTTGGCTCCCAGAACAGCAAGTCTAGATGTTCTGATGCATGATCATGACCCTGACTTCTAAGGCAGTGACCTTTGAACTTTTTTTTCCCCAAACAGTCTGATTCTCAAGCTCTCTCTCTCTCTCTCTCTCTCTCTCTCTCTCTCTCTCTCTCTCT